CTACTTGACAGCATCTTCACTTCCTCACAATCATCATGTACATTGCTTATTGTTCAGCTGTTTGCATCAAGTAGCTGTCTTGACAGCTCCGTAATCTATGCCTCCCCAACTCCTTGCACCCTCGCAACTTCTGGTTTACACTCCTGAACGTACACACTTCCTCCCCAGCAACAGATTCCCAGCAGGGAGTGGAAGCTTATCCTGCGAGGTGTGGTCAGCGCATAGGACTGGGGGTCAGCCCACCCATTGCTGTTTTCCCCATCCTTAAAGTCAGAATAGCGGTACTTACCTACCTGGCAGGGTGTTACAAAGCTCTATGAAGTTGTAAATAATGAGTTCCATACAGAAATACTGCCTTACCCACAACATCGTTCTGCCTCTTGCAGCAGGCCTCTGTCGACTGCACACCATACTAGCAGAAAAGGTCAAGGGTACTGCAGTCCCAACACCAATTCACTATACAAACCTGTCTTGTTGTCTGTCCAGTATGTGCACAAAACAAAGCAAGGGGCCTGCTAACAAAACAATATGTGATCGTGTAATTAAAGGCTATCATAATGCATATACACAAAAAGGCGGTTAAGGTTGCACATATTTACTAAATAATATATAAAATGGTGGTGTGGTTCTACTCTGAGAACTTTGTAAAAATGGCACCGTCATCCTCAGCCAGTCTGTGTGTATCCAGCATTATCTGCTGACCTTAATCACTAAATTTTTTTTTCCTTCTGTTAGCATGGCGGAGTGGAAGCTGCTAAGAGAGAATGACCTAGTTCCTATTATTTCTTGAGCATCATCAACAAAATTTATTATGCTTCTATCAGGGCTTCCAGTAGCATTACAGAGGGAATAACTTTGCCTGCAGAATCTTTATTACTGTTACTGATGTGTGAGATTGAAAGGACCTTGCTTGATGCCCAGATTGAGTTTTCAGAAATACTAGCTAATTTTTTTAAAAAGTTCCTTGTAAAGTTGGCACATTTTGTACAGAAATCAGAGACACCGAAAATGTGAACCCTAGAATGCCATTTTTAAAGTCACTTTTCGGAGAAGAACTGTACTTTTAAAACAGAACTTTCAAAACTTGCTTTTGAAATGTCTGTCATTATTGTGCTATCTTCATACCATTGAATGGTTCTGGTGTGTCAATGAGCGCTGCCATTTTACTGCTACTTTCCAGCAGGAAGTCCAGTCTGCTGACATAGTTTATGACAAAGGGAATTCCAATGAGCAGTTGAATGCATGAAAGAGGCTGGAAACTTTTACAGTTGTTTTAAGGTAAGTTGTATGATTTACTAAAAATAATTTTATGGAAAAAAATTTATACTGAAGTGTTGAACTAACAAAGTTTCTAATGCATATTAGAGCTATCTTAAAACAACCATGAAAGTGTCCAGCTTTTATTCTTATACTGAGCAATGATTCCTTTTTTCACAAACTACAAGCCATATCCTGCCATTGTTTTGCATGCAGAATTCCCCACTAAAAGCTATGAAGTGCTCTGCATAAAAATAGGGTCATATCTTGGCACCTATGTCGGCAAACTGGCAAGATGTCACCTTCCGGTTTCATTGCTGATTATTAAATTTAAATGTATTTAAACCATGTGCAACAAGACTTAAATTCCTTTTGTAATTAGTTGAAGTGATTTCAAGATTTTATGTTTTCTCTTTAATTTATTCTGGTTCTGCTGGAAATTAACATGATTGGCTCATTTTTAAGGTTTCAGACTTTTGCTGGAAGAGCAGGTTGGCACTTCTGAGGAAGGGAATGATTTGAAAATGTTGCTTTTTCTGCTCCCTCATTGCTGTCCTCTATACCCCAGCTAACCCCATATATGTTCCCTCATTACTTCTCCTCCACCTCTTTAAAAAATAAATAAATAAGCAGCTATGAACCATTGAGTTAAATCACTGGTGTGACATCATCCAAAAGACTTAATTGGCCAATCAAGGTGTGGCTTTGGTTGATAAGTGTTCATGTTCATATTCTGACAGAATGAATGATGCAATACAATCCCAATTATCTCAGTCTCTGAAGACACCCAAAATCTTAGAGGAATCAAGAGAGTCAGTTCAACAGTCGTTGGAGGCTGCATTCTGTGTCTTTCAAATTTAGAATACAGATTTCTAAGCTTGCTGGTCATGTCTCCAGATGTTAGTGAGTTGTCAACCAGCTTTGGAGAGTCTGCAATTCAGACCTCCCATGTGTGGAGCACAGTGAAAATAAGGGTCTGCATACTTTAAGGGTCTGCAGTCCAGCTGTTCAGGCATCCCTTTAAAACCATCCTCAGCAACAAGGATGCCAATCAACTTTGCAATGTTCCAGAGTGCGGTCTCTTTGGAACCAGATGACCTTGGGCATGATGTAGTCTGTTGCCTCATTACTTCACTCTAGATCAGGGGTTCTCAGGACAAATTTTTTGATGGCCACTTTCATACTTTTTCCTAAAATATGTAATTAGCTTTAGGAAAAACAAATAAATATGCATATATATGTGTCCAAATCATTGTAATTTATTTATTGCTAACTAGTAAGTCTGTTGTGAAAAGTGATATTAACAAACATACAAGTATCACTTTTCACAGCAGTCTTACTCAGCCCCGCCAAGCCTGGGGACAAATTAAGCCCTGAATGGTGGATCGGGGGAGGCAGCGGGGGGGCTGGAACCTGAAGCGCTTCGTCTGGAGCCTGGGGATGGAGTCTGAAGCACCTCGGCCAGAGCCTGCCACTCGAGGGCTGAAGCCCAAAGCCTGAGCCCCACTGCCTCTGGGAAGGTGGGGAACTCACCGGCTGCCTGGTCCTCCTGCATTGTGCCCCCTAGGTATCTCCAGAGGTGGGCAGGACCCAACCCTTGCTGGTGGCTCCAGCAACCAACACCAAGGCAGTGCATCCAGGAGCAACAGGGAGGGGAGGGGCCGCTACTTTGTCCCCTTCCCCTAATCACAGCCCAGGAGGCTGTGGCCGCAAGAAGAGCCTCTGGTGGCCTCATGCAGCCACAGTGGCTGCATTTGAGAAATGCTGCAGAATCTAAAATAGAGAGTACAATACAATCCTGGGGGTCATGACCATGCTTTGGAAAAATCAGGGTTGCACTTGAACTGGACATTCTGTGAATAATATTCCTTTAATGCAGTTATTTTGCTCTTAATTAGACCTACAGTAGAACCTTAGAGTTATGAACACAGGATAACCTTAGAGTTATGAATCTCAGGAATGGAGATTGTTCGTAACTCTGAACAAAACATTATGGTTATTCTTTCAAAAGTTTACAACTGAAAATTGACTTAATTCAGCTTTGAAACTTTACTATGCAGAAGAAAAATACTGCTTTCCATTTTTTTTTTTTTTTTTTTTTTTTAGTAGTTAACCTTTAACATAGTACTGTATTTGCGGGTTTTTTGTTTTTGTTTTGTCTCTGCTGATGCCTGATTGTGTACTTCCCGTTCCAGATGAGGTGTGTGGTTGACTGGTTAGTTCGTAACTCTGAGGTTCTACTATATGTATGTTTCACCCACAAGTATGGATGGGGAAAGAAAACTAATGTCTAAAAGTCGCCAATAATATTTTTGAAAAGTCTTTCCTTCTTGCAAACTTAGACCTCAACTGATTCTTGAATGTTTTGCATGTAAAGTATGCCATGGTATTACATAAACATTGCTAGGGCTGCATGGGAAGAGTAAGGTGAAATTTATAAAATATGGTCAAAAAAGGGACTGAAAAATGCAACTTATTGTAGAACAAATCTGTTCCTTATGTTCATTGAGTCTTAGGTGTTTTTCTACTTAGCTGTGGTGGCCCTGCACTCCTATGGAAGAGTAATCTGGTATCCTGGCTCATGGATTATCAGCAAAATTTACTTAAATTTCAGTTCCAAACCTATACTCAGCTATATATTCATGTTTGCAGCCTTTTTATTTTTCTTGAACCTGCAATTTAAGTTTACTAAATTTATCAGAACCCCTGAGTCAAGATGGTGGTGGTGGAATTGTTCTTTAAATAACATAAACAGAAGAAAGGATACTACAGTAAAATCCAGGACCATTTAATGTAATTTTCTTAGAGTAGTGGTTTTACAAACTACGGTCTACAGGGCACTTTCACATGATCTTGAAATCTGCGTCTGTTACAGAAGGGAAGGATATCAATTTTAAAATAGTGATGCCTCTTGCTAAATGTAGCCCAGCCCAGGGAACATTAAAGGTTTTCAGATGTTTTTGACTAGCAGAACTCACAAGTATACCTCTACCTCGATATAACGTGACCCGATATAACATGAATTCGGATATAATGCGGTAAAGCAGTGCTCCGGCGGGGGCGGGGCTGCGCACTCGGGTGGATCAAAGCAAGTTCGATATAATGCGGTTTCACCTATAATGCGGGAAGATTTTTTGGCTCCCGAGGACAGCGTTATATCGAGGTAGAGGTGTATCTGCATTCTGTGGCTCCTTCAAGTATCATTGTCCAAGTCTTTCTTTGGTGTAAATTCAGTCACAATCAAATTTGCGGGAAACATCAAAATTGGGAAGGACAGTAGCACAAACACAGGAAGACAGAACCAAACTATATCCTGACTTGCAGATATTGGAGCAGTGAAGGTTGTGAGCAGTGAGGGTTGCAAGCAGTGAGGTAAGATGTTGAAGCCTTATATCCAGAGATATATAGAGCCTGATTCAGCTCTCATTGAAGTTAATGGCATAACTCCCATTAACTTCAGAGTTGCAGAAACAAGCCTATATACAGACGGCTACAAAATGGGGAGATGTAACCAACCAATTTCACTCGTATTAAAATGATCCGACTTTTCTCTTGTCTGTTTATACAAAGTTCAGAAGGTTGGCAGTCAACGATAGGTTCAGAACGTGAAAATGTTTTGAGAACCACTGCTATTGAAAAATAGTAGTTTCTCTTAGTTTGCATAGAGGTTTTTCATGAGCATATTGCAGTGCACATAGTATACTTGATTGACACTTAAAGGTGTGGGTTTTTTATAATTTTAGGGAGGTGCAAGCAAGCCAACGCTCTGTGGCCATAATTGCAGAGATGATCCATACTGCTAGTCTAGTTCATGATGATGTCATTGATGATGCAAATTCTCGGAGAGGAAAAATGACTGTTAATCAAATCTGGGGGGAGAGAAAGGTGAGTCTGTCATTATATAGAGTACTGGTAAAGTGGAGATTTGTATTTGTCATGTTGCTAATACAGTAACTCCTCACTTAATGTCCTCCTGCTTAACGTTGTTTTGAAGTTACGTCGCTGCTCCATTAGGGAACATATTTGTTTAAAGTTGTGCAATGCTCCCTTATAACGTTGTTTGGCTGACTTTACAAGGGAGCATTGCACAAGTTCTTCTTCTCCGCCTCCTCCCCTTCCCTTCCTCCCTCCCTCCCAGTGCTTCCCCCGCTGCCAAACAGCTGTTTGGCAGCGCTTAGGACTTTCTGGAAGGGAGGGAGTGAGCGAGTGGGGAAGCTGCCCCTCCCTCCCCCCGGCAGGCAGGGCCACCCGGAACGCAGAGGCTTTAGGGGCTGCAGGGCCCTGGGCTAAGGGGGCCCTGGAGCCCTGGCCTGCAGCTCTAAAGCCCCTTTCGGAATGTGGCCCTGCGAGCACGGGCCAGAGGACTCAGGAGGAGCAGGGGCAGCTGCGCAGCCAGCGGCCGGAGAGAAGCGGTGCTTTCCCCTTCAAAGCCGGCCGGAGAGAAGCGGCGCTTTGAAGGGGAAAGCGCCGCTTCTCTCCGGCTGCGCAGCTGCCCTGCTCCTCCTGAGTCCTCCGGCCTGTGCTCGCAGGGCCACATTCCTAAAGGGGCTTTAGAGCTGCAGGGCCCTGCAGCCCCTAAAGCCCCTGCATTCTGGGTGGCCCTGCCTGCCGGGGGGAGAAGGGGGAACTCCCAGAATCACCACCATGGGTCGGTGCCGCGCTGTGCAGAGCCACCTGCACACCCCCTGCACCAAACAGGAGCTGCCCCAGGTAAGTGCTCTCCACCTCCTACCTGCCCCAGCCCTGAGCCTCCTCCCGCACCCCCACCTGAGCGCCCTCCCACACCCTAACTCCCTCCCAGACTCTGCACCCCCAGCTCTGAGCCCCAGGGGTAAGCCAGGGGCACCTCCCCTCCACATGTCTGAAGAAGTGGGTATTCACCCACCAAAGCTTATGCTCCAATATGTCTGTTAGTCTATAAGGTTCCACAGGACTCTTTTGTTGCTTTTTACAGATCCAGACTAACACGGCTACCCCTCTGATACTCCCCACCACAGTACAGTACAGTAGATAATGCCTTTTGTCTGCTCCCAAAAAAATTTCCTTGGAACCTAACCCCCGCATTTACATTAAATCTTATGGGAAAATTGGATTCATTTAACATCGTTTCACTTAAAGTTGCATTTTTCAGGAACATAACTACAACGTTAAGTGAGGAGTTACTGTATTTAGTGTGTGTCTTCTTGGCAGTAGCGTGTGGCTATGGTAGAAGCTGGGGATGTTTAGAAAAAGAGGTACAATCTGAGCTGATCACATAACTGTGATCATGTTATAAATTCCTATATACAGGGGATAAAATGGATAAACTTTCTAACCCTACATTTTCAAAGTATAGTGGGAAGATGTTTTTACTATGTGATTCCTATAGATTCTAATGGCAGTTGCATACAGTAGCTAAAATCATGTTGAAATGCTATGAAAATATGCCTCCTTTTAAGCACCTCATGTATTGGTTTCCCCTGTTGAAATAACAAACCAAAAGAGCTTTTACGCTAGCATTAAAATTTTCAGGCTTTAAAATGTTAAATATATGCCTTAAGATAGTAAAGGCTTTGCTGTTCTCATTCTCTTGTGAAATATGTAAGATGACTAAGCTTCTTCCTGAATAATTTTTTTTCCCAAATGCTTTATGAAATCCTGGGGGATGACAAAGATCAATGACACTTCCAAGATTTTTAAGACACTTTAGAACTAATTGACATTACACAATAACAGTAGCACAGTGACCATACAATACAGTATATAATGTTTAAAACTTATTTCTTTACCTCGCAGGTAAAACACGTTCAGATATAGGAAAAAAGAGATCACTGTAAAATGGGAACTCCAAAATGGTTCAAATTTAAATACTGTAACTATTTTTTCCTTTTTCCAATTTTCGGTAAGAAATGTACACTTGATGAGGAAAATGATGTACTGTGACTAGACCTGGAAAATATACAGGGAATCAGATTGTCCGTAGTATTTTTTATGTGAAGAGACGTTTAAAAAAAAAAATCTTCTCTTGTTTTTTTTCAGGCTGTTTTAGCTGGTGATTTTATCCTTTCAGCAGCTTCTGTTGCTTTAGCAAGAATTGGAAACACTACTATTATATCGGTATTAAGCCAGGTGATAGAAGATTTGGTGCGTGGTAAGGTTTTTTTCTATTTGTATCTTTATACTTCTTTGTCTAAACAATAAACCTAAAAAATAAAGACTTTATCCCTGCATCTTTATAGGTGAATTCCTTCAGTTGGGCTCCAAAGAAAATGAAAATGAGAGATTTGCTCACTACCTCGAGAAGACCTTTAAGAAGACTGCAAGTCTTATCGCAAACAGTTGTAAAGCAGTATGTACGTTCTGTCTCTCCTCAAGTTAACATACCTTACTGTAAGCTTCACAGCTAAATTCCCAATTACTTGCTATTTTCTTTGGAAATGCTCCAAACTAGACTCTTCAATTAGTATTATGCCACAGTCCTAATGGATCTTTGTTTGAGATTTTTATCCCAATTCAGCTGTGCAGCCTCCATTATTGGTTTTCATTCTTTCCTTTCTGTTTTACGTGCAGAGACAGACTTTTACTCTTTCCTCACTCGCTTCACAGTAAGATCCACTATAGACTCCTGAGCTGATTTCTAAAATGTTAGAAGTTTGAGCCTATTTTTAAAATCCATGTCCGAGAACTATTCATCTTATAATTTGTTGAATATAAGTTTCCTTTCACGTCTGTTGTCTGTTATTGTGTAGCATAGTAAACTAATGCAGAGTCCTACATGAAAACACTGCAAAAAAAATTAAACAGTTTGTGTTCTTCCTATTTAGCATTGCTCTAAATAGGAAATACATTCTCTTCTGCTCATCATTAAGTCTTATGAATTGAATATGTTTTTAGTTGCATTGGTTAGGGGTGACTAAAACAATCATGTCTAGTTCCATTATTGTAAAATGACAGAAGCATAAATTCAAGGACTGAGTCCCAAGCAAACTGACAGTCAGTTAGACCCTGCTATATCCTACTCTCTGTATTTACCACCAAATTCTGTTACTTTCGTTCAGGGCCGGCTCCAGGCACCAGCCCTCCAAGCATGTGCTTGGGGCGGCACCTGGAGTGGAGTGGCGCTCACCCGGGGAGAGTGGGGCCGCGGCCGGGCTTCCCGCCCTCCCCCAGCGCTCCGGCTGCCGCGGAGAGCGGAGCCGAGCGGGCTTGCCGCCCTCCCCCGGCGCTCCGGCTGGCCGGGGAGAGCGGGGCCGCGGCCGGGCTCGCCGCCCTCCCCCCAGCGCTCCAGCTCCCGGAGAGAGCGGAGCTGCGGCGGGCTCTCCGCCCTCCCCCCGGCGCTCCGGCCGGCCGGGGAGAGCGGGGCCGCCCTCCTCCCGGCGCTCCGGCCGGCCGGGGAGAGCGGGGCCGCCCTCCCCAGCGGGGGGGCGGTCGGAGGCTTTTTTGCCTGGGGCGGCAAAAAAGCCAGAGTCAGCCCTGCTTTCATTACACAACAAATGAATATTGACTTGCACAGACAAGTTCTTATTTAAAAAAAAGTTTATTACCAGTTCAGAAAATGCAGAAAGTGACAAAAATGCTTTTCTCCCCTCTTTCCCCCTCCCCCCCCAAGAGAGCCATAATGTTGTCAGAAAGGGAAGTGTAGCTGGAACATAACCTTAGCAATAAGAGGCAGTTCAAAAAGGATTAGTCTAACACACTGTTATTGTTAAGTGTTTTATTCTGAAATCAGTGGTACATTCTTGCAATAGAGAGCAGTTGAAAATTGCCTAAATAAAGTGGATTATCTAAACCAGGACATTATTTCCAATCTTGTAATACCTTATTGGAACACTCTCAGTACAGTATACGTTCCATAAAAATCTGTGTCAGAGGAATCTGGAAATCTGACCAGTTTAAGGAAAATAGAAAACACTCCAGTCGCAGTTGCATACAACATTTGGGTATACCTAAATCTTATAAAGGTTTCATTTCTAACTAAGAGTAATCTATTTCCAAAGCTTCTTAAATTCATGATAGTTTCTTTTGTGTTTCTGAAGCAGATTGGGAATATCCACTGGCAACAAAACACAGATGAAGCATTATTTCTCTTAATTTTTCACTTAGACCTAATGTTGCAACAAAGTTGGGGTCCTTGAAAAAAGGCTACCACCAATCATTGATACCAGATCTACACCTACCTTCAAAACAGTCATGCTTTCAACTGAGTTACTAACTTTATGCAATAATATCCAAGGATCTAAACTTCAGTGTGGTCTTATATTTTGGAAGTAGAGACTTTTATTTCCCAAAAAGGATTCAGATGTAGTTTCTTAGGCAGCTCTTTAAAGAAACAGATCAGGACATGGATGGTTCATATGAATAGTAATGTGTGATAGAGCTTTCCTCTCTAAGGCTCAAATCTTCAGTGAGAATTTTGCCTAAGTAAAGACAGTCACATCAAGCTTCAGACTCACCACATATTCAGTGTAACTGAAAGCTGTTGCTATTGGATAGCAATTTTGACAACCTAAGAAAAGAATTCACAGGGTCTATCATTTCCATTAGATAGATTCTCATTACAAATTCCACCATTTCAGTTTGCTTATTGGCCTCTCTGAGAGTTTGCACAAAAGCCAAGGATTCAGGGGCATCCATCTAAAGTGAGGTACAGTTGACAGGAAAGAGAGCTTGTTTTACTGTTGCCTTCCGGTACTTGTACGGTGCATAATTAGGTTTTCACCACTGGGAATCTAGCATTTCAGATGCAGCAAAATCATGTTTATAAATAAAAGTGGGGGAGAGGGGATTATCCTTGGGGGCAAAACTATAGCTTTTCACACTATGACAATGACATTTTTAGTCTTTCCCTCAGTTTCTTTTTTCATAGGTTAGCAAGGATGGGAAGAATGGTACTGATAGCATGAGTGGCAGAAAGTGCCTGGAGCACACTTTCTTGGGACAGTTTGGGCTATTTAAGGAGAACTGATGGGTTCAGAAGGAGTTCTGCTCTTTGTAGCCAGAAAAATGGTCATCAGAATCATTATCTGTAGCTTGAAAGTGGATTCTTCTAAGTGTTCAAGATGAAGATGACTTCATTCTCAAGGGCAAACTAAGGCTATATTATTGGTGATTGAGAATATCAGTTAGGATAAGTCCTGCTAGCATGAGCCAATCCAGTTCTTGTGTTAAGGGAAGGAAAAGACATTCGTTTTGGCTGAAAAAAATGACAGAAACTAATTCTAATGGGATTTTAGTTAGAATTAATCTAGAGGAAGGACGATTGGTGTGTTCCTGGGACAGTGCCTAAACAGGATACGGATGGTCTTTTCCTGTAATTGCACTAGTTATCATCTGCATCTCCAAAGCATTACATTAGAACCAAAATGCCATTGAGGTAACCAAATACACTTTTTATAAAAAGTCTATCAAGGGGCTAAAGCTGTCACAGTCTCCAGTGTATATTAACTACATGGTAGATGTGTGCTTAAGCTACGGCCAAAGTAGTATATGTGTGCCACAGTAAATAGTGGCAGATGGCCCTGAGAGTCACTGTAGCCTGAGTTACTGAAAGGCATTTTTCAAGGACAATATGGGAGTGGAGGATTTCTGCTCAGGAATTCACATCAATGAAGCACAAATGGAATTCCCAGCTGTCATGAGAAATCTGAGATACCAAATAAGCTTAGCAGCTTCTCCCTCTCTTGCCTATTTTTCCTGCTACAATTAGATTTCAAAACCAGGTAAAGATTTACATTCTTCATAAGATACTTTCAAAATAGGGATTTAAAAAAAATATTTCTTCATTGAAATGAGTATAAAAGTTGCATCAGATATTTGGGCTTCATCTAGCAGGACTTCAGTTTTTACAGACATAGGCTCTGATCCTACAAGCTGATCTGTGCATGCATATCCCTGCACCCACAAAGAGACCCACTGACCTCAACAGAGCTCCGTGTGGCGATAAGGATTTGTCATAGGGAGTACAATGAAAGGAGAAGTCTGTACTTCTCTATCTAGCCAATGATTCCAAATTTAATTAAGTTTAAATTTCCACTGGGTATGTCTCATGGGGGTCCACTTGCACAGAACTCGGTGCAGAATTGGGGCCTAAACTGTGTTAGCTCCTCTTGACATATTAAAGAATGTAATGTCACTGATGATACGGAACCACCTCAGGCTTTGCATACACATTAAAATAAACTATAAAGTCCAGTAACAGGTTTGAGCTAATAGAACTACTGTATCAGGTGCATCAGACACTATTACAGAATGTTTGATAAATCCCCTCATTCATTTAAAAAAAATCCACTAAAGTCATTTCCTTTTGATAATCTACTTTCAGTGGAAGAGATTAACGTTCAACATAGTAACTGGAATTTGAAGTATTAATTATGAGTAGTAAATAACAAGGGATTATATATAGCCATCAGCTCTGAGGGGCTAGTTCATGAACACCGTTTCCACTATGGTTATTCCATGGAGAGTTACACTAGTATAACTATAGCAGTTTAAATTCACACATTAACTTATATGTTAATAGTATAACTTTCCCATGTAGACATCCCATATTGTGCTTCTCTCTTATAGAAATCATGATATGGTCCTGGTAAGAGGGATACTCATTAGGAGGTTATGTAGGCCTAAAGCCCTGGGTTTTTATTTTTGTTGTTACCTGAATGTATGTAACTTGCAAAAAGACGAGAAGTTTTCTAATTTCACAATGACAAAATAATTGTTTTTCCTTTTGTGAACTTCACTTACATAAATGTATTCCATAGCCCTCTCCTCTGCATCTAAATCTTTCTATTTATGCTGCTAAAATTATTCATATCTCCTGTTGGTCCATAGTAAATTATCACTCTGCAGCCACAGTCGTGTCCTGACCTAGATCATTGAATAAATTGAAAAGCTACAGTCTCAGCATGACCCTTAAGCTCCCCAACTAGTGACTTGTCTCCATGCCCACTCTTTGCCATTTACTGTGAATTTTACTAATGCCCGTTTAAACATTCCATTTATACCTGTATTTTACACGTAGATTGGCAAACTAAGAGTACGTCTACACTGCGATTTAAAAAAAAAAAAAAAAAAAACTGCACGGAGTCTCAGAGCCACAGGCTCGGCTGCAGGGCTATAAAATTGTAGTGTAGATGTTTGAGCTCTGGTTGGAGGCCAGGCTCTGGGACCCTTCCCCTTGCAGGACCTCAGAGCCCAGGCTCCAGCTTGAAACATTTGCCATTTATAGCCCCACAGTCCAAGCCTAACGCAGGGGTCTGTTTTGGGACCGGCTCTGTTCAATATCTTCATTAACGACTTAGATATTGGCATAGAAAGTACGCTTATTAAGTTTGCGGATGATACCAAACTGGGAGGGATTTCTACTGCTTTGGAGGACAGGGTCATAATTCAAAATGATCTGGACAAATTGGAGAAATGGTCTGAGTTAAACAGGATGAAGTTTAACAAAGACAAATGCAAAGTGCTCCACTTAAGAAAAAATCAGTTTCACACATACAGAATGGGAAGAGACTGTCTAGGAAGGAGTACAGCAGAAAGGGATCTAGGGGTTATAGTGGACCACAAGCTAAATATGAGTCAACAGTGTGATGCTGTTGCAAAAAAAGCAAACATGATTCTGGGATGTATTAACAGGAGTGTTGTGAGCAAGACACGAGAAGTCATTCTTCCGCTCTACACTGCTCTGGTTAGGCCTCAGCTGGAGTATTGTGTCCAGTTCTGGGCACCACATTTCAAGAAAGATGTGGAGAAATTGGAGAGGGTCCAGAGAAGAGCAACAAGAATGATTAAAGGTCTTGAGAACATGACCTATGAAGGAAGGCTGAAAGAATTGGGTTTGTTTCGTTTGGAAAAGAGAAGACTGAGAGGGGACATGATAGCAGTTTTCAGGTATCTAAAAGGGTGTCATAAGGAGGAGGGAGAAAACTTGTTCACCTTAGCCTCTAAGGATAGAACAAGAAGCAATGGGCTTAAACTGCAGCAAGGGAGGTCTAGGTTGGACATTAGGAAAAAGTTCCTAACTGTCAGGGTGGTTAAACACTGGAATAGATTGCCTAGGGAGGTTGTGGAATCTCCATCTCTGGAGATATTTAAGAGTAGGTTAGATAAATGTCTATCAGGGATGGTCTAGACAGTATTTGGTCCTGCCATGCGGGCAGGGGACTGGACTCGATGACCTCTCGAGGTCCCTTCCAGTCCTAGAATCTATGAATCTAAATAAGCTGATCTGGGTCTTTTATTGCAATGTAAACATACCCTAAGAGCCTGACACTACTCAAAAACTTTACAAAAAATATACAGTCTCTCACACTCAGCTTGTCTTACTGATTATATTTTATTTATATTACAATAGCAACCAAAATTTGCTAGGCATTGTACAGAGGCATAAGATGATGTAGGACTTGCCCCAAAGAGTTTGCTCTCTAAAGAGAGAAGCCTGAAAAGGAGGATAAAAGATTAGGTTCTAGTTTGATACCCCATGCTTATTCCCATCTAAAAACCCCTTGTATCTCAATTCAGTTTATCCTTTGATGGTCTCCGGAATTTTGTCTGACTGAAGGCAAACTTTGAGCAAGAAAACTAGGCTACTAACATCTTGCCTCTTTTTATAGACTGAGGCAATGTGAGATGTTGTCTGATGATGAGATAAGTATCCAGATTCTTTTAGGTCCTTGTAGTATTCTTATGTTTGGAAAGCACAGTGTTAGAGGTTCTTTCATCTTTATTTCTTATGTGTAGGGCCTTACCAAATTCACAACCATGAAAAAAACATCACGGATTGTGAAATCTGGTCTCCCCCGTGAAATCTGGTCTTGTGTGCTTTTACCCTATACTATACAGATTTCACGGGGGAGACCAATGTTTCTCAAGTTGGGGAGTCCTGACCCAAAAGGGAGTTGCGGGGGGTCACAGGGTTATTTTAAGGGGGTCGCGGTATTGCCATCCTTAATTCTGAGCTGCCTTCAGAGCTGGGCAGCCGGAAAGCAGCAGCTGTTGGCTGGGCGCTCAGTTCTGAAGGCAGTGCCCTGCCAGCAGCAGTGCAGAAGTAAGGATGTCATGGTATGGTATTGCCCACCCTTACTTCTGCGCTGCTGCCTTCAGAGCTGGGCGGCTGGAGAGTAGCAGCTGCTGACTAAGGGCCTAGCTCTGCAGGCAGCAGTGCAGAAGTAAGGGTGGCAGTACCATACCATGACATCCTTACTTTGTGCTGCTGCTGGCAGCGGCTCTGCCTTCAGAGCTGAGATCCCAGTCAGCCTCTGCTGCTCTCCAGCTACCCAACTCTGAAGGCAGCACTGTCGCCAGCAGCAGCATAGAAGTAAGGGTAGCAGTACCGTGACACCCCCCCCCCCAACTCCTTTTTGGGTCAGGACCCCTACAATCACAACCCTGTGAAATTTCAGACTTAAATAGCTAAAATCATGAAATTTATTATTTTTAAAATCCCATGACCATGAAATTGACCAAAATGGACTGTGAATTTGGTAGGGCACTACTTATGTGAGTGCATGCTTGCATCATGTTGATTTGAAGATATTCTTCAGTGTGAATACCTTATCGAAATTACTTTTTTCAGCTTCTTTTCCATCTTCACAGTCCCCATCAAGGCTCCTGCTACTGTTTTTAAATGATCCTACAACTTTCCCACCTAAGAGAAAAACATTTTTGTTCCTTATATCTTTATATTCCCATGCTGCTCTTCTATTGCATTTTTACTCTTATTTTTACTTGATAAATCAAAATGAATCTTCACTGCTTCCTCTCCTCTTTTAGTAACATTAGTTTTAGTTTCTGTAGTAAGCCAGGATGGATATTTTTTTTCCCCAACAACTGTAGTTTTGTTGAAAACTAAAATAAATCTGAGTATCAAGTGGAACCAAGTTTGTGCACCTTTTAAAAAAAATAATCTATCTACAAGCGCGCACAAAAAATTCTAAAACATTATTTTAAACAGTGTTGTGGTTCTCATGGTCAACAACTCCCAAATTTCCCTCATCACCCCCTCATTTAATTATACAGAATTCATGCCTGTAGACGTTTGTCTTCAGAGTAATTCATCCTTTTGTGTGCACTTAAGTAAAATGTTAATGTATTTTCCCCAAGGATTACATAAGGGATTTTTTTCTGCCTGCTACTCATGGACAAAGAGCCACATTACCATAGCATGGCTGCAGTTCAAACAGTTCTTGAACCTCAAGATTCCTTATGACTTGTTCGGAACCAGTGATGATTTGGTCTAGTATTATGTGCCCTTTCCCATCCCAGCCCCCTTTGCCACTAACGCTCCCCAATAATTCAGTGGAAATCTCATCAGCTCATCTCTATTGATAGTTCATTTCTGGACAGTTAACATCTTCCATGAAAATAACCTTCCCTCTCTCACTTGCCCTAGTTTGAGCACCACTCTTCCAACTCCATGGTCTCTGTTCATGGGAGGCTTGTAAGATCCATCTACCTACTTGAGCCCTAGCCTCCTAACAATTATGTAAACAGATTCAGGCCCTGTGTTGCTGAGATGCGTTAGACAATTAACCTACATGTGTAACACCTCTCATCCTGCTGCATTCCCTCTCCTTACAGTATAATTTGTAACCATAATAAAGTTAATCTCTATCCAGAATTTAATACTGCAGTTCTATTGGGTTTTGTGTTTTCTAATGGGCCTAGATATTTGTATGTGTGTGTGTGCATAAACAGGGAATTGGGGATGGGGAAGAATGCTCTAGATGTGGCTTTTTCCCCTCTCCCAGATGTTTACTGTGCTTATTATCAAGTATCAGAGGGGTAGCCGTGTTAGTCTGAATCTGTAAAAAGCAACAGAGGGTCCTGTGGCACCTTTAAGACTAACAGAAGTATTGGGAGCATAAGCTTTCGTGGGTAAGAACCTCACAAGTCTTGCATCTGAAGAAGTGAGGTTCTTACCCACGAAAGCTTATGCTCCCAATACTTCTGTTAGTCTTAAAGGTGCCACAGGACCCTCTGTTGCTTTGTGCTTATTATGTTGCACCTATAATCAAACAAATTTCAGGTGAATAATTAGAGCTGTCCTTTTTCTTTTTTTCCTCTTCCTTTCAGGTTTCCATACTAGGCTGCCCTGATCCAAAAGTTCATGAGATTGCATACCAGTATGGAAAAAATGTTGGCATAGCTTTTCAGGTAGTGTATTCTGTTGCTTTTACGGAATTAGTGGGAAGTCTAAAATGCACACTTCTCAAAACTACATTGGAAATCAAACTGGATTGCTGTAATTCTCTGTATACATTTTCTTTTAATTAGACACAGCAATTAAAATGTGTTGTATCATTTTCTTTTTTTAATGTGGTAAAATTTTCTTTTGTGTTTGTCTTCTTCCAGCTAATAGATGATGTGCTAGATTTTACATCATGTGCTGACCAGTTGGGGAAACCAGCATCAGCGGATCTCAAACTTGGATTAGCCACAGGCCCTGTTTTATTTGCTTGCCAACAGGTAGGGTTAAAGAACATTCTCCAAAAATAAAAATCATTGCTGGCTTAAAGGGACACTCTCAACTTGAAATCTAGTCAATTTGAAATATGCTTGGGACATAGCTAGGAGGGATCTCCTCTCCTCTTTACCTAATGAAACATGTACTGGCATTGACTGGCTCCAGGGGGAGCTGCGTTCAACATTCCTCCATTTGAGAGTGGACTGTTACTGAGGGCTTGAAGAGAAATAAGTTAGAACAAGCTTAGATAAGTGGTTTGTTTTTTTCCCCTTCCTTACATCCCCCAGAACAAAAATAGAGTAAGAGACTAATATGGGTGCACACTTGCACAAAGGGGAAGGACGATATGGCAAGAGAGCCGCCATATAGAAAAGACAGGAAGGCAGGGATGGTACTGGCCACATAGAAAGGGAGTGATGTCTAGTGGCCCCTGAGAATAAAACCCTCCATGTTCCACTTGTTTCAATGGGAAATCCCCTAGGAGTCACGAGAACTCGTTCACACCCTGTAAGATCTCTCCTTACTTAATGATCATTCTCTAGAGAAAAAGGGAAGAGAAGCAGATACAACAGAAAAAAGGAACAGCGAGAGTGGCAGAAGTACAGAAAGAGGATGCAGTGTAGAAATGAACAGCAAGTGCACAGAAAAGGGAAGATACTTGCAGACTGACACAGGACACAGCAGAGACAGTGCACTGCACTATTACAACAATTTGTATAGTTGATTGATCTGTAGAGTGCTGATGAGTCCAACCCAGAACCTGTGTTATTAACTTAGTATTTTATTTATTTACATGTGTATATTACATCGTAGGTGCACATGGCACGCAGTGTTTCTCAAATGCAGCCACCAGTGGATTTGTTTGCAGCCAGGACAGCCTCAAAAGAATAGGTGGAGATGTGGGAGAGGGGAGGGACAAGAGAAGCAAAGCAGCAGCCCCTCCCTGCACCACCCAGCTGTTGCTCCTGACTAGCTGTTACCAAGGGCAGCAAGATGGGCCCCCTTGATGTTTGCGCTGGCACTGCCAATGGGGATCAGAACCCTGCACCATTCAGCCTCCTTGGGGGTTCTGGGCAGCGCCTCAGGAGCCAGGTGGGGCTTGTGTGTGCAGTGCTGGACGTGGCTCTGGAGGCAGCTGCAGTGTTCAGTTGTCAGGACACTCCCTTGGGCAGCTCCCCTGCTCCCGCCCGGCTGGGGCATGGGGAGCCTGGGGCAGGCTCTCAGTGAAGAGCTGCGGGAGACAGAGACAGGGTTGTCAGAGCAAGAGTTGGTGGCCACACTCTGCAGCTACCAAAAAATTTGTTGTGAGAACCCCTGCCCTACTGAGTGGCTAAAGACACAGTGCCTGAGCCGCTTAGAATCTAAGCTAGAAATGGCATGGAGAGGTGACATCTGGCAAAGGAGGAAGTTTACACACTAAGGTTATGTGGTTCTGCTTGTCACAGGGTACACAATGTTAGTACCACCTTTTTTGTTTAAAAACAAAGTTTAGTAAGCTCCTAAAGGAGTAAGGATTAGTGTGGTAAATGGCCATACAGAGGCTGAAAACTATAGATTCTCTGTATCATCTTAAATAAATGGGCTAGTTCCTATTGACTTTAGTTGGACTCATGGGTGAAGGTTACATTATTCTTGGTATTCAGATTTGTTCATCTGTTAGTAACAAAATTCCCAGCTGAAAATGAATTTTGATTACTGTCTAGCTGGAGCATTATTTAAATACTTTAACAGCTGTTATGGTCAATGCATGTTGTTATTTTCATGCTAAGAATCAGTAGTCTCCCACTACTGCTTGTGTTTAGTCATTTAAGTAGGCTTCTATTCTCAAATCATCTGGGTTTAAGTGCCACTAGCAGCTTTGTAATTATTCGTTCGGGCCACCGTTTAGTAATGGAAGAAACTGGAGGAGATAAAATGGTTTAGCTGTAAAAGACCCATTCTCTTATCCATATATCCATCTTAAAATTGTGCTGTCTGTTCTCAATTAATCGGCTTTTGGTTCAACTCCAATGTTTGCATTTTATTAATTGTTCTAGAGTAGACAAAACCTGAGTTTCCAATATTAAAATAAAGCTGAAAAAAAACAAACATTTTAGGACTTTCACTGATCACAAGTCCAGTGTTTTATTTACAGGCCACTTACTAGCGTTCCCCCTTTCACACTTTATATCTTGATGATGGAAGGCAATTGTCAGTGCTTCATCAAGCTGTCCTTCCACAGAATGTTTTGGAAGGCCTTTTGTGCCCAGGGGAAGGCCTCTTCATTGACAATTTCCTGCTGTTTACAAGAAACTAGTACTGAGCCACACTAGAGACTTACATATTACTTGTTTACATAAGTTTTAAAAACTGGATCTGGGACTGCAATCAGACACTTACTTGTACTACTAGTGATAAATGTTAGCCTCAGTTCAAATAGATGTATGTCTCCACAGCCCCACAGTTTGGACAGGAATTAGCAGTGGGCAACAAAGTGCAGCACTGTAACTCTCCTGTGTGGACTCTGCAACAGGCTTACATTAATGCGAACTAGGAATCTTTTAGTTTGTGCTGGTGCAGTGCTATTCACACCCCTTTAGTCTGAACTGCAGGGCTGTGTAAGACAAGCCCTTTGAAGAAGAAAAACTCAATCTAAAACATGTAAAGGGTTTTTCTGTTGAAGGTTAATTTTTCTTTGGGAAAAGGTATACATCTGCTTCTCTTCCTCCTACCATTTTGGCCAGCAGTTAGTCTGTTATTTCCATATGGTGAAGATGCTTTTACAAACACATACAACATTATGGCTTTGGAAATTGGAGAGGGTCTAGAGAAGAGCAACAAGAATGATTAAAGGTCTTGAACATGACCTATGAAGGAAGGCTGGAAGAATTGGGTTTGTTTCGTTTGGAAAAGAGAAGACTGAGAGGGGACATGATAGCAGTTTTCAGGTATCTAAAAGGGTGTCATAAGGAGGAGGGAGAAAACTTGTTTACCTTAGCCTCTAAGGATAGAACAAGAAGCAATGGGCTTAAACTGCAGCAAGGGAGGTCTAGGTTGGACATTAGGAAAAAGTTCCTAACTGTCAGGGTGGTTAAACACTGGAATAGATTGCCTAGGGAGGTTGTGGAATCTCCATCTCTGGAGATATTTAAGAGTAGGTTAGATAAGTGTCTATCAGGGATGGTCTAGATGGTATTTGGTCCTGCCATGCAGGCAGGGGACTGGACTCGATGACCTCTCGAGCTCCCTTCCAGTCCTAGAATCTATGAATCTACTTTCATCAGCGGAGCTCTAAAGCATTTATTTCAAAGCAGGTAAGTTATCCTTCTTGTACAAAGTGACCCTTAAGACACCTGATCTGGTTAGAGTAGATGCCTCTACTAGACTGTTTATATTAATAGACTAATGTCAAAGAGGAGAAAAATGTACTAGGTCCCTGGAGCTAGTGTAACAGGCAGCTATGCAGAGAAAACACTTCATAAGAAACAGCCAATACTTAAATTTTCTCCTTCATGTTTAGTTTCCAGAAATGAATGCCATGATCATGAGGAGATTCAGTTTGGCAGGTGATGTTGAACGTGCTCGGCAATATGTACTTCAGGTAAGACTAGTATGAAGTATAAATTTATTTAATTCCTCAAATTAGTTGTAGCAGTTATAGGCAATCTAGGGGTTTGTCTATACTTACGCGCTGGTTCGGCAGCAGGCAATCGAACTTCTGGGTTCGATTTATCGCGTCTTGTCTGGACTCGATAAATCGAACCCAGAAGTGCTCGCCGTCGACTCCAGTAATCCTGCTCGGCGCGAGGAGTACATGGAGTCGACCGGGGAGCCTGCCTGCCGCGTCTGGACCGCGGTAAGTTCGAACTAAGGTACGTCGACTTCAGCTACGTTATTCACGTAGCTGAAGTTGCATACTTTAGTTCGAATTGGGGGTTTAGTGTAGACCAGGCCTAGAACTCATTGCATGAATTAGCCACAGATGGCAGGGCTGTATTTAAAAAAAGTTTAGCATCTAACTCAAGAAGTGGTTCTCAACCAGGACTACCCATACCCCTAGGAGCACACATTTGCCTCGTTTTATTACATAAAGCACTATCAAAGTTAGTACAAACTAAAGTTTCATACAGACAATGAGAAAGTAAACAATTTTTCAGTAATAGTGTGCTGGGACACTTTTGTATTTTTGCCTGATTTTGTAAGCACGTAGTTTAAAATTAGGTGAAACTTTGGGTATGCAAAACAGATCAGACTCCTGAAAAGGATACAAGAGTTTAGAAAGGGTGAGAACACTGAACTATAAGATGTAATCAAAGATACTGTTGCAAAGGTATTCAAACTTTGCTGGTTCCTGGGGTGAAAAATAGCTTGCTGGCACAGCACTTAAGAGGAACAGCAGAGGCAGGTTACTGGATTAGATAGATGTAGCAACATAGTTAATGCACTAGATCCAAGGGGGTCAGTTTCTAAGAACTCAGTTGCTGGTACTGAAGGGTAGCTATGTTTCAGAGTTAAAAAAAAAAAAAAAAAAAAAAAAAAAAACACACCACACGACCACATCGGTACAGTCAAGAAAGCTTGCATTGCTTCTTAGTTTAAGTCTGGCCCTGCCAAAAGAAAATTTTCAATTTAATGTCTACCCCTAAAATCTTAGTTTCTAATTTGAGTATTGTGTAATGAGACATCTTTGTCAAATTTAAACTTGCAGAATTTGGACATTAGCACAGGACATGGATGACCAGAAGTAGTCAGTTTAATTCACTAACCAGATATTCCTGTTTAATAAGTCAGTTTTAAATGCAAAGTGTTTTGAGTTTTTTTTCTGCACATTTAAGGTAGTTTAACAATGAGAAACAATTACTATTTGTGCATTTGAATCCCCATTTCCATTCAAATACAACTTGACACAAATCATGAGTTCAATAATTAATCACCTCTAAGAAATGTATCATTGGCCCATTTCTAATCAAAAGTTTAAAATCAAGAATCTGATGGTATGTTATGCCATTATATTGTTTAAGAATACTGTATCCTGGTTAGCAAGTCATACCAGATTATATGAAGGAAATCAACCTTCCTTCAGGAAAATAACTGAAGTGTAAATGTAAAACAAGATTAAAATCAAGCTTTCTTGCTTGCTGATTTAAATCCAATCTACCATGACTAGAGCCAGTGTAGAGGGTTAAAGACACTAACTCACTTCCAACAGCATTGGTTTGTTTTACACGTAGCAATGGAAATAATTGCTACTCTATTACCTTAATTTTTTTTAAAAGACTGATGGTGTACAGCAAACAACCTACCTCGCCCAACGCTACTGCCATGAAGCAATGAAAGAGATTAGTAAACTGCGACCATCCCCTGAACGAGATGCCCTCATTCAGCTCACAGAAACTGTACTCACCCGGGACAAGTGAGACACCTTCTTCCACTCATACTGGCAGCTACTTACCAGACTGTGCCTATAAGACTACATTTCAAAACATCTTGGTTTGCTTCCAGCGCTGGTTACCAAAAATTATTTTTTTAATATTTTCTGAAATATACTTTAAGTTTATGAAGATGTTTGAGGGAAGCCATACAACTATGAAACAATCTGTTAAATTGTACTTATTCTGTCTAAATGTGTTTTAATAAGGGCGTTTATGTTGGGGGAAGTATTGTTTACACTTAATATTGATGTACAATGCCAATGAGAATAAATATCAGTTAAAATTAATGTGTTCCAAACATTAAATATTACTGTATGTGTGAAGTGATAAGGTTTACTGCAAAAACATGGTTTGATTGCTTTCCCAGCTGTGTGTGTTAAACTTCAGAAGTACCCAAAATGTTATATAGGAGAATGGTTTATTATAAAAGACTGTACATAAACTTAACAAGTTATATACAAATTAAGTGAAGACTTTCCAATTTATAAAGAAAATACAGGTAAATTATTGGTTGCTAATTTTTCAGAAGGTGATATTAACACTTAAAGCAGAAAGCATTTGGAAGTTACAATGATTTTAGGGAGAAGGTGAAGGAGTTCCAATATTTCTAATTTTACACTAGAAAAGAAATGATGCAGCAACCAATCAAGCTTCCAACCACCAGTCTTTTAGCACTTTGTTATAGAAGTGTACATTTAATATCCCATTAGGACAGCACTTTAAAGTCCAAAACCAATCTTTACTACATACAATAATAGAGCATACTACATACTCTACTTCAGATAAGCTAAGCACTACAGTTTTGTATAAACTGAAGTGAACATCCCATCTGACTTTTTGCCCAATTTCCCATAATGGAGTGGAGAGGCAAAGTGCATTTGTCACTTTCCAATAATAAACAGGATGTGAATGTCTGTCCCCCTCTTTCTGTATGACTGCTAGCTCTGACTGCCTACTGGGTGAATTATCAGCTTCAAACATACAAATTTCTCCTGCTGGTCCAGCATACAGTGTGTATTTAGTAATGTCAGTTGCAGCAAACTGAAACTAATTATTAAATTACAGTGAGTTCAACACTCAGCTGAGAATCCTTTAAGTACTTAATTTTAGCAGTACTTGAACCCTTTACACACTAATTTTGAAAGAATGTTCTGATAAGTGGATAGTTTTCAGGTTTGGTATATTTGTTTGCCCACTAATGTAGCCTTATTTTTAACATTGACAACACTTGTCCTTAGTTTAGTACATTGCTAGTGATACCACAATCATAAATTGGCTTACTTGGCAAAGCAATTAGAAGTGCTGACAAAGTAATGCACAAGACCTTTTGTTCCACATATATTTATGAATGGAAAAGTTGTAATGCAAATTTACTCATTTAAAAAAAACTTGGTACAAATTACACATACATAAGACCACCCATTTTTGATTCACATGGACACCGTAGAGACTCAAGCAATTCATTGCAATAGATTTTAGTGAGTTCTCCAGGTAAAGATTACAACAAATTGGAAGCATCTTGGATTTTTAAAAAAGTATATTTCAATACATAAGTTTGTATGCATGCTTTAAACAATTATAGTTCAAGAATGAGCAAGAGTCTAACAAAATGTAATATGACCAGCACTGACAAACTTTTCACCCAGATTTTAATATGTTAGTCTAACTTAATGTTAGTTACCATGCTGCACTGAAAAATTTAATGGCACAATCTGAATCATGGTTCATTAAATATTATACCCTACTTCCCAAGAATATTTAGGCTGGTCATAAAATTAACAATGCGTAAGTAAATAAGCATAACCAGTAATAAGACAGTTGCTTGTTTTACAAATTGCTATCAGGTAAGACAAACTGTCTCCAAAGATTTATGCTTATGGAGATGGACATTCTTCAATCATACCATTAAAACAGTATGGCCTGAAAAGATGGGCACATTTTTTTTTAAAAGTGTATTAAGACAATTGTTAACCTTTAGTTACCTCTTGTAAATAATCATGGTATGATTGAATACAAGACCCAACTTGAAAAGCAAAGATTCTAATCAGCATAGTGCATGATTGATTCGACATAATTCCCAGGGAACAGGCCAGTCACTCGATTGCAAACTCCTTCATACCACCCATCATCATTCTTCTTTATCACATAAATGATTGCACCTTCCATAAATGACAGCTCATCATCCTTGTCCTTTGTGTAGTCATATATAGCAACAACTAGGGATGAAAAGAGTCAGACAAATTAGTTTGGCATGTACTATTACACAATACACAGCATTTTAAAGTGCAGGTCTCATATTTAAGTGACTAGTAAGGACATCTCAGGGTTTTCAGTTTTGGTCTCAGTGATTCCTGTATCTAATGTGCTCAGTTTACAAATAAAGTCATCCCCCAACTCTCCTTCCTCCCCACCCCCCAACATGAAATCTGGAGAGTCAAGATAAAATTTCCTCTTAACATTACCACCAGTAAAGAAGGTGTACAGGCCCAATTAGGCCTTCAATTAAAAACTTTTGGCTTGCACAGGTATAATTGATCGGAATGTAGAAAATGTTTCAGAGATACATGAAAAGGAACAGAATCCAGTTCACTGAGGTGTTAAAAAAAAAAAAAAAAAAAAAAAGGGTAAACGGTTAGCCTTGCAGCCACAACACTGTTTGTCACAGCAGACAGAACCTGAAATACACACATCTGTTAAGGTACTATTTATATAACTTTGTAGAGTAGAACCTTCCCACGGATAAAATCAGCTATTCACTAAATGCTGGCCATGTTTATGTAGTGCTGCTTTTAGCAAAAATCCTAAAGAAATCAGATCCAAAGGGAAGCTGTTAAAAGGCACATCTCCTACTTATAAGTGGCATATAACAGTGCTGGGGATCTAAAGATTCCAACCTTGCAGATTAATCTTAGAACTAAATTCACCAGCACAGGAGTAATTTTTTTCAATTTTTTAATTTAGGAGATTTTTAGGTCCAAAATAAATTAAGGTTGCAATCACTCAAGAATTAGGAAATTCCAGAATTGAGTTTCCCTATACAATCTTAAATTGGCCTCCAATTTACATTTTGATAGTTTTTAAACACATGACCACATCCTATATTTTTCCATAAGACCTTCAGGGTGCAGGCTGAACTGTGCTCTGGTAATAAATCAGGGTTGTTTAGTGAAAGAGGCTGTTGGCTGTAGGGCCCCTGCCTCAACTGTTGCGAAAGTTGGAAGGTATGTAGCACATGAGGAAAGGAACTGCATCAAAGAGAGGAAGGTCTGGTGGTTAAGATTGTTGAATGCTGCTCTGGAGAATTAGATTCCTTCTATCACTCCCTCTGCCACGAGTTCCTATGTGATATTAGGCAAGTCACATAAACCAAAGCTTTGACAAGCGGCCACTGTGTTCCTCATTTTCTAGGTGCTTAAACTTGATGCTAGTGTTTGATTTATGGAAGTGCTCAGCACTCAGATGCAACTGAAGTCAATGGGAGCTGTGTTCAGAACATAAAATGCTAAGTACTCTGCTGCAATACTATTGCTATTAAATATTAAGTATTCTGAAAAATAAGGCCCTAGGCTTTTCAAATTATGCACCTAAAGTTAGTGGACACTTCTTGCTTTAATCTTTGTGCCTCATTTCCCCCTGTATAAAATGGAGATAATACCACCACCTCACAGGTGACAAAAGACAAAGACAAAATTAACTGTTTGTCAAGAACTAAGATGTGAGCACAAAAGAGAAGCCACTGAGGAAAATTAACAATTCTGTAGTCAGTTCACGGTTTGGAGGGTGCACAGCAAATAGTGCCTGGGGCCCCACATTGAATGATTAGCATAAAAATATGGAAGTAGTAATGATTCAGTGAGCACATTTCATCCTGTACACTCAATGAGTCAGGGGTCCTATGGAAAAAAATAGCATGTGATTATGTAAATGAAGACAAGCCATGTGCACAAGAGGGCCAAATTAGTGTTGCACAAACAGCCTTAATTCTGACATTTCGTAAGAGTTGAGTGCTTGACATTTCAACCTTAATGTACTTTTTATAGATGAAAGATGGATTTATGTTGGGGGCAGAGGGCGGGCAGAAGAAAAAAAAAAAAAACCACACTTTCCACAGTGAGTAATTACAGTGGTAGCATTGATCAGTTTCATGCTCCTTAGTTCCAAGAGTGTACATGTGGCAGATATCTGGAGAAGGGAGTGACTTACGGTCTGGGCACATTAGTAAAATGAACCTATGTTGGCATCACTCAAATGTCTAAACTCGTGCTGAAAACAGTTTAGCAACTAATGAAGATGGAACATAATAGTTTAACTGTTACAGGGAAGAAAACATACTCCAAACTCCAAATCGATCACTATCACATTTTCCCTAACTGTGAAACATTTCCCCTCTGGACAGTGGCAGCCAAATCATTTTAAACACCAGGTCACAGGAAACTTGTTGCTGGCAGTTGTCACAAACTGGTTATTTTCTTAGCATAGATTGACCCTACAGCTAGGAAATTAGCATGTCAGTTATTTGCAGAAACAAACATTGCCAGTCTTATGAATGAGGTAAAGAGTTCCATATGCAAATAGGATTTAAAATACTCTTAAGACATTTCTCAAACAAAACCACTATAATTTTACCGTTAAAAGGCTAACGTAAGCCAACTTTGTTATCTCATTTATTCAACATCATCAAGGGAAAAATCCCACAAATAATCAGGCTTTTTGGCCCTACTGGTCTTTCAATGAGGTTATTTCTGGATAGACATCCAGCAGGATTGACACAGCCATTGCTGGTCTAGAAGTGGGCTGTAGCCCACGAAAGCTTATGCTCAAATAAATTTGTTAGTCTCTAAGGTGCTGCAAGTACTCCTGTTCTTTTTGAAGATGAATTAAATCCAATTTACAGCTATTTCTTGTAATGATGGATTACTTATCCACTTCCTTCCAGAGTGCTTGAGTGTATCAAGGACTCTTATTTGTTACACTGGGCACAGCCACTGAGAAGTTAGGAAAGAATGGTTAAGTTTGGATTGAGCAGGGAAATTTTGGTTTCCTTTCATCAGAGCCTACAAGTTAAATTGGATTATGTATTGCCACCATGTCAATGTATGGATTGAACTCTTACCTTTCTCAATATAGTTTTTAGGGGCCCAAGCAGGGTCTCCATCTGCATACGGATCACTGTACTGCACTACTGCAGCTTCCTCATCCTCATAATCCACAGGGGGAGGGGGAGGAGGAGGAGGAGAATCATCAAACATAGGCATCTCATCTGGAGGTGGTGGAGGAGGAGGAGTTGGACTATCAGCAACTAAAAAATGTTTGAAGATTTGCGTCAGAAACAGTAAAGTAAACCTTAGGCTGTGCATTGTAGAGAAAGAGAGCATGCACTACAATACCATGCACTGCTTAGAAACAAAGGCTTTACATGTTAAAGCTACAAAACAACTATGTTATTAGTGGTCAAATCTATGTATAAATGCTACTAGAGTCAAAGCACATGCTCCAGGGGCCATAAGCTGATTGCCAGCAGATAGAATTTTTGTCCCATCTCCATGTATGACAAGCGACTAGATGCAATATACACATATACAAGGGGATGACAGGCATCCTCAGAACCAGGAGGTAATTGGGCACCATGATGAATCAGTGGTTTGACATGGTTTTGCAAATCCTGTGTTAATGCATTTTGTATATACTTCATTTCTGTTATTCTGAGCACTAATTTATTTGCTTCTGTCTTACTTTGAGAATTATCTTTTTACAAAATCTGGTGTAGGACAAGAAGGGAGGGAAGTCATTAGTATATCAGATTTGACTAGGTAAGAGAAAACAGAATAATACACATTCAGAGGCAAAGCTTCGTACAGACCCTTATCTTGCAGAATAGTCTATGAGCACACACCCTGGATTCAATTAGTGAATTAATGCAAATGGAGGATAGGCAGCCACTGCTCTCAGGAGATACATGAGGAATTAAATGCATGATGCAAAATATTCAATCTCTAAAAAGATTCCCATATCAGCACAATTACTAGTGGCTTTGGGATAGGGAGAAAGGAAAAAATGGAAGTACAAATTATTGCTCAAACCCATCTTTCTCCAATTAGTCATCACCAATATTCAGAATGGAAAAATATCAGTCAAGAACCGTACAGCAGTTCTCCCTAGAGAACCTTTGCCATACAGGCCACAGACTCCTTCCCCCAAGCCTCTGATATCCACACTCCTGCAGGTCCCACTGTTCTCTGCACCAGGGAGTGCCCCGGCAGCTTTTTTATGCCGCTTTTACGGCACTGGTGAATGCGAGTGGTGCCGGATTGTCTGTGCATCCTGCGGTGTCAGAGCACGCCGGTGCCAAGGGTCTCTTAGACTAGAGTCCCTCCTCGGCACCGTGTCACGTACTGATGCCAGGGCACTCCATACGGACACGCTCGGTGCGGGGTCCTGGCAGTCCGCAGCAGACTAGGGATGAAGGGCGGATTCCATGAGCAACTGCTTCAATCGGAAATCTCGCTCCTCTTTAATTCTGGGGCGGAAAGCCCTGCAGATCTTGCACGTTTCTATCTGGTGCACCTCCCCCCAGACATGAGTCATGGGGATTGCTTGTTGGCATAGGCTTCCTGCAGGTTCCGCAAAGTTTAAAAGCCTTGGACTCTTGGCATGCCTAGGAGCCCAAGAGGGTGAGGTGGGGTTGGGATTAGGGAAACCCCGCTCCCAAACCTTACTATATACAATATATACACTAACAACTAAGACTAGGCTAAGCTAACTATATGAAAACACTAAGGGAAGCACTTGCTAAGCAAGCAACAGCAGTTCCAATGACCGTCACTGGCGGTAAGAAGGAACTGAGGAGGGGCTGGGTCGGCAGGGTCATATATTAAGCGCCATGAAGGCTCCACTCCAAGGGGGCTCCACAGCTGACCCGACGGGAGCTGCTAAAGGAAAGTTTTCCAACAACTGTGCGTGCGGCGCGTGCACACCTGATTGGAATGGACATGAACACACATCTCGAAGAACAGTTAGGAGAAAGTGAGTAACTGTTTTTTCTAAACACTGGCTTGCAAACTCTCCTCCAGCCAGCAAATAAGGGCTGGAGATCCATCTTCCCCATTCATGGGAAACCCCACAACATATTACATCTTAACCTCTATATATGGGCAACAGACATCCCCCAACTGCTCTCCTAGGTCAAACACCTCACTTTAGCCCCTCTGCAACATGAAACATTTCATTACACTTTCCCCATTCACTCCCTGCTACTGATCATCCTGCCAACCAGGACAGAGGCCAAAGATCTGTTTGTATCCAATCAAATCTACATATGCAGTCCCCTCTGTGGAGGAGTATGACAGCTATTTAACAATGCACAACAATCTACATGACAGTTTAGGATAAACAATGAAAAACACTGTATCCAGATGAAGTTCTGAGCCCAGCATGCTCGGCAGCAACAGCACAGAGAGAGAAGGTGGAAAGCCTCTGCTCTGAGCCTTGACTGAGTAGCTCAGTGATGGAACCTGTGCCCAGTCTGGCAGGAGCTCCCTCCTCCCACTCAGATTTCCTTCCAGTTCCTGTGAACAAGCTCCAGCCAAGCAGCTGTGGGACAAATCCCTTTCATGAACATTGGGGCCAGAAGCAAGTGCCCCACTGGCCAGATTCAGCCCATGTGCCATATATTTGGCATCTCCTATAGAAATAATTTAGTTAGGAGTAATATAATTGGTGGGCCAGAACCTGAGCAGAACACCAGAGTTAGCACAAAAAAAAGTGTAATAATTCCATACAAGTGTCTGGGCCTTGTTTTGAAATTTCACCTTATAGCACCACTAGCTGCATCGCGTCCCACTGCACTGTTCTGAGGGCACTGGATCAGTGCCACCGATTGAATCGCCAACATCAGTAACGTTCTTTGGACGTCTCCAGTCCTAGTACCATCCCAGTCTGACCTTGCTTAACATAGGACAGATCTGATGAAACCACAGCTCCAAGATGTTATGGCTCAAACCATAGGGTTCTACAGCCCTACATTTAGAGTGTAATATGCTAATGGTAACAAGCAAATAAAGGACAGGGAGGGACAACATGGTGATCATGAGTGAAGCTTTGGATGTGTGTGAAGTTAGCAGAAATTAAGATTTTTTTTTTTTTTTTTTTTTTTTAAAAAGACCTTCTTACTCCTCACCTCCAAGCCATTAGTGATTCTTCTCCCAGACAAACCTCCACTTATGCTACTTTCATGAATTGGACTGTTTCCAAAATCCTTTGCCCAACTAAACATTTTATTCTATAAGAGAGTAATGTCTTGTAGGTGTCATTGTCTGCACAGTGAAATAGGACTTGCTAGTAGGCATAGTTTATTGACCCAATTCACTTGACATAGAAACATGCACACCCAAATAAATGATACAATATAGGAATTGGATCTGTTTCATACAGTATCTTGGGCACACATTTCACAAATGTATTTCCAATTCAAATTGAACATCTCCCACAATTTCCATCTCTCTGAGCATTTTGGATTTTGTTCTATTTAATCATGCTCAACAATTCTTGTCCTGTTCCAACCAGTGAAAATGCCTTATCTTACTAACTGCAAAAGTATGTTAATTCAACAGTAAGGTTGCTTATTTAAAAAGAACAAAGTGCCAACAGATACACCGATTTGGCTGCAGCATACAAGTCTGTTTTAAGTGTTTCTCCTAAAACATACAAATTCAACTTCACATTTAATGGGAGAAATGGGAACAAAGTACTATATATGTGCTACTAAGCAGAGTTAACCCTGTTCTTGGAAATTTAACCTTTACATTTCCTCACTGATTTTAACTGGGCAACTGTAAAGGGACATTAACTTTGTTCTGTTGCATTTATTTTTCTTTTTAAAAATAAAATGGGAGAGGAGGAAGGGCAGAAATTGCCTGTTCTCAGTATTAACATTTAAATGGTTTCAAATCCAGATTTCAAATTCAAACCCTCTCTTGGGTGTGTACAACGTAAGGGCATGGTGACTTCCTGCACCTGTGCTGCTGCTATTGTTTAAGTGGAGATTGGGCTATAGCAATCCCCCCCCCTTTTTTTTTTTTTTTTTTTTTTTTTTTAAAACAAGCAGCACACCTACTTGTATTGTATCAGCTGTGTCTGTGTAAGAGGTATTAGGAAGTCTGAATAAAATCCTCTTCTATGAAGATACCCACAGTCGGAGTACAGGGTGCAGGAAAAAAAGAGTAGGTCTTGTGGAATTTCTTTCAGGGGCCACAGAAGAAGGGTTTAGGAGTCCACAGAGGAAGCAACTTTCCAAGTATTTCAGATCCATAAGGACGGGAACCTCTCATGCCATGGAAGTCCAGCCTATCTATGTTGCTCTGTGGCCTTCACGCCATACTGTTAATGGGGTTCGTTGGGGAGTGGGTAAGTGAAAACCCAGCAGTTGGGCAAAACTCAAACCCAGTTTTGTAAAGTGCAGTTTTTGCACCACTGCCTAAAACTCCATTTTCCACTCTGGATGTTCACTACCCAGTTTTCAAATGCAATTCACTTTAAAAAAAAAAAAGATTTTGATTGAGTAAAGTTTTGATTGGGAAAGTTCACCCTTTCCAGGCCAGGTTTCAAACTTTAGTCATTTTTGCCGTAGGCCTGTTAAAAAGTGAGCTCAGATTCTCTTCCTTTGGTTATACACACACACACAAAGTTTGTTTGTTTGTTTTTGGGTGGAGAGGATTCACCTTCAGGAGGACTATAAGCATGGAAAATTTCAGTCCAAAAGGCTAATAACTTTCTGAAAAATTAATATGTAAAAATGGGGTTCTAACATTTTGTAACCTTGATCTCTAGCAATTGCTAGCCTACTATGACAGAGAATGGGTTTGGAAAGGTTTTTAAATGCAAACTTGAGCCATGCTATCTATTTTATTCTATACAAGGTTTATAGCGTGCTCCTCACTGTCACATTTGGGCCCCTTGTCTTGGCCCTGATTCTGAGAAGTGCACAATACCCCCAAGGCGAAGGTGAAAACTTGACTGCTCAAGTGTTCTTATGGGCGCTCAGCACCCTGTAAGGAGTCAGCTCCTTGCAGGATCAGTGCCCTGAAGGCTCCCCCAAGACATGCGTAGCGTCCACTGTTAATAGGAAATTGCAGGCACTTTGCACCTCTCAGGATCAGATCCTTTGTTACTATCATTGCTCAACTTTCCAGAAGATGTCCAGATTCTAGTGAATGTTTTCACTTGTAGAAAACAGGAGGAAAAGGGAAGAATCGAGGCAAACTCCAAGCTCCTTCTATTTGCATTAGATAGTAAAACCGCACCTTTCCTTTTGTTTGGCTACACGACTTTCTAAAAAACTTCTACAATTTATGAGTTAACAATTACCCAGGTGCATATTTTAACAGGCTATGTAATCCTTTCTAATCCAAGCTAAGTAATTATCACTAGTGGTAGGCAGGAGGATGCAACACTAAATTAATTTTTTTAATATATATTTCTACATCCACACTGAGCAGATGCCACATATTTCACATTTTTATCTCTATCATAAATTTGCAGCTCAAACCTTCAATGGGTCAGTAATAATCATGCACATGTTATAAAAAATTGAAGAGTGCGCCCTTCAGCTCCAATAGCATAGTGGCACTAGAATGCAAGATGGTATTAGCTTCTGAAAAGGAAACAAAATAGTCTGACTTGCCAGCCATGCATGCTAGAAGAAAACAGGCTCTACTCTTTGACAGCTCAGCTTGTCCAAACTTACTGTTTTCCTGCACCCTGGCCACGAAGCCTGTGAGAGGTATCTGTGGAGTCAACTGAGGCATAGGGGGAGGGGGTGGAGCAATAGAAACTGGTAGCAACAGAGACCATATTGGGGAAGTCAAACAGATAAAGGAAAAAAAGGAAACAAAACAAGAGCAGCTGTCAGTAACGAGGACCACAAAACAAAGTACGCAAAGAACAAGAACACACACAGAAGAACCTTCTTCAAGTTTGTTTTCCCAAAAGCAAAGCTAAAGCCGAATTCATGTTTAGCCAATTAGTGACTCAAGAAAAAAAAAAAAATATTTATCTGACTGAGAGGCAAAGTCAGTCTGAATGTTCATAGTTCAGAGGACATGAGAACGAAGGATTTCACTCATTAGCACCTAGAAACTGCACAAAACAGAACTTCCTTATTCTCAATGTTAAAAAAAAAAAAAGGATTACTCCAAAATTCTGTGATTATCTTTAAAGAGAAATATTAATGGGATATACAAGGTTTCAGAGGATGGTGGTCTCCTGCTGTTATATATTCACCATATGTGTCTGCTATTATGTAAAATAAATTTGAGGTAAAGCAAAAATGTGTTTATAGGAGCAGACAATCCTGCAACTCCAGCTATTATAAATTATGAGAAAATAATCATTGGTCATTCAGTATGAAATAGTCACTTAAGTGCTTCACTATTTACTATGCTACTGTGGATCTATTGTATTTTTATTGGTTTACAAGAAAGACCTGCTCTCCCATTGGCTGAAACACACAATAGCTTGTAAATTGGTTTCCAGCAGCATAAAATTTTGTTTTCAATTTTTTTAAAGCCTTCTATAAATACGAGCCACCAAGCAATCTGAAGGCGGGTGTAGGTTCCAATGGTACAAATGGCCCTCCCATGCATATGCAGAACTCTCATCCAATTAGTTGAAATGTACGAGTGCACATCCTCTGAACTGTATTCTGTTGATCCATTCATTTTATTGAGCAAAGGGTTTAGTGTTCTTTATAAGTGTGTATGTGCAGTTAGTGCTCATTAAAAAGGCACAGGACTGACTGCCTAGAAACTGAAGTCCTCTCTTTATAAAGCACAGGCAGTAGCAACACAAGCTCCCCTGCACTGACTGACCAAAGTGTGTCAGACTCGTGCTGGAAGGGGACAGTAGTTCAGCTCCATTAACATTTAAGCCTTGAACTCTGTTGAGACTGCCATCAAAGATCTGTTCTGGTGTAACATCTCCCCAAGAGGATAAAAATAGACCAACTCATTTAACAAATTAAGCCTTTTTTTTTTCAGTTTTAAAACTTTTACATTTAACTACAAATGAAAACATTGCGAGGTGTGAATTCAGCAGAGTAATTTAACTGGAATCGTAAAATTGAAAGAGGTTCTATTCTTCTGAGCAAGCAACAGTTTTAAAACAAAGGCGTAATTAACATTGTTTGCTGAATAAAGGCAGCATTCCAAAACCAACTATTTCCCCCATATAATTTATCAATGTAGAAATGTGAAAGGGGAAAAAGAAAGCAGATTTGTTTACAAAACTGAAGTAAACATTTCAGAGAAAAAAATTACTGTTCGTAAACATGAAAGTGTAACCCAGGGGAAAACAGGAAAAACTGGATGTCTTGTCAAGACAACGATGTCAAAACCACCCATTTTGGAAGTGGATGAAAATAGTTTCAAGTGAAGAAATATGCCCATCACAATACCTTTTAAAAAAAAATCTAAAATCAATGTTTTGAAGCACTGTATACAATCCAGATTAAGGGATTATACTTGCATTTGAACAAAGAAATTGCATTCGGAATCTAAATTTTCAATAATAAAATCAGTTACATAACATTTGAGGCAATTCAGCCATTTTAGAAATTAAATCTAGTTTTGGCATCTGAACACCACTATTGAAAATGAACAGTTTCTCTGAGTTACAACGAATTATTTTTGCAGTGAAGTGTGTGGAGGAAATGAAGGGGACTGAGTGTGTCTGAGGGGCCTGGGAGAGAAGGGGAAGGTAAATATTAGTTTAAATAAATAAATAAATATTGACCATCCCCGGAGCTTTCCATCTATATAAAATTGTTTTCCATTGAAAATGAACTCTAGATCAGTGGGGAAGTTCTTAATCTAAATGTTTTTCACATATCACATACATAACACTAGAGCAGCACCAAGACATTCCTTGATTCTCTTGCAACTGCAGAGCAAAAATATCAGAGAGATGATGATGTAGCAAAAGTTGCAGCTAGCAGAAAGGTATCTTCGAAACTATGTGAGACAAGCAGTAGGGCATTATTAATCCATCTTGGGGTTGTGTGTGCATGACCATAATTTGATGGGCATAATTTAGCTGTGAGTAGGGGCGAGGGGAACACTGGTTTGCTACCTAAATTTCAGGCCCTCACCTGGAGTAGAGGGAGGGAGGCAGCAGAGGCACAGACCAAATCTGCTTAAGTGCAGCAGTGCTCAGCAGTCAGCACTTCCCCCACTTCACCCAGCTAACCAATCAGCTGCTTCTAGGGGTGCCCTGTTGGGCAGGTGGCATGCTGCTCTATGGAACTGGCTCATCTCTTCTGCTGCCTGCTTCCCCCACCCCAGTGTGGAGCAGGAGGCAGCCAGCTTGACAGGCCAGGGAAGGGGACGAGCTTGCTGCAGAGAAGAGACCAAATCACCCCTGTCCTGTTCCCCCACCACCTCAGACTCAGGTAGGGGGAGGTGGAGAGTGAGAGACTCTGGAAGAAGGACCCAGGAGAGGCGCGAGTTCAGGCAAGGAATTTGGAGGATGGGGTGCTTGGGATGAGCAGGAGGGAGGGGAGAAGCTGGATATTTGGAAGGCAGAGCCAGGGTGTAACAGTGAACTTCTACAGCTGGGAGCCTCGTGATGGGAAAGGTGTAGTATGGGCATCTGTGCTCTTGCTCTGCCGGCTAGGTGACTCCACTAGATGTGAGAGTGCAGGGGTATGCTAGCTGTACATCCACAGGTTTTTCTACTTCATTCCACGTCAGTCTTTTCATAATTCCCCTCTTATTAAATATTTTAAACATAAACAGGGGATTTAGTAATGACTACGCTAATATTTTAAACCATTTAAAAAAAAAAAAAACATTGTGAGGATACATTTCTGTCCCCTAATCAGTTCTTTAAATCATGCTATTGAAGTTAGTGCTGAGAAGTGAAAGGCCTAAAGGGAACTCAAGTACTGGAGAAATCCCATAATACTGTGGTTATTAAATGAAATAAGAGGAAAGCAGGTAATATTAATGCTATGCAAGGAACATGATTTCCAGCTATTTTATCCCGTGGTCTCAGTATCAGACAGTAAGACATTTAACAGTGATAGTCAACAATTTTTCTCATCATCTAAATTTTTAGTAGAACAGGAACATTCATAATGTACTTGAAATATTAATGGTCCAGTTTTAAACAATAGCTCTCTCTACAGCCAATATTCCAGATCCTACCAAATTAGTTCTCCCTTCAGAAGAGCTTATATTTTTGGACTGTGCGCACAAAAGTACACCCAGCACACCTGAAATGCTAACTAACGTTTGCTTATAATTAATTAGGTAAGCCTGGTGTTACCCATTACATTAACTGCTTGATCACTTTCTAGGGAAAAAGTGTTGTGTATAATTCAAAGGAGGCAAAGTGTACCTTTTTGCTATTTTTCTCAAGTAGAGGGAGAAAACCAAACAGCATTTGGATTCTGATTGTTGCCTATCACAGAGAAATCATACTTCAAATCATTCAGCTCAAAACATTCTATGATTGCTGCATAACGGCAAAGCGCAGAGGCTTACTTGAGTTTTGAGAATAGAGAGGCCCGCCATTAACATGAGGTTGAGCAGAAAATGGGGCAGTCACAGAGGGATTCCGTCTGTATCCACTAGAAGATGCTGAAGAAGTGGTAGAGTTGTGTCGTGAAATTTGCCTGGTCATTGTGCCATACTGGGAACCAGGAGCTGAACCAGGAGCAGCTGAAAAGCAGTAGCCAAAAGGAACCAACAAGAAGACTTAAGCCAAGTATTACTTAGGACAGAATGCAGAAAACAGAAAAAAGACCCAGAACATGGTGAATACTTGAAACCAATACTCCAGTACCTGGAGGTCAGCAGCGAGATATTAACAAAACAAAAAAGAAACATCTTGTTATACCAGTCCTGTGCTATCAGCCATGTAAAATACATAAATAACATTCATAAAAAGATCTCATTTATGTTTTCTGAAATGTTGTCGCTATTTTAACCCACTTATACAGAATGTTGGATCAGCTTGTTTCCTAATTTAACTGAATTTTTGTTGTTGCACTACCTGTTAAACAAAAAGAAAGAAGCACACTTTGAGAAGGTTGCATATCTTCTTGAACGCAAACATTTTTGCATTCTGAAACAGATGCCTTCAATCTAGCCAAAGAAAAAGAGCATATTTGTGTAGGTTAAGAAAAATAGGGGGAGAAAAGGACACCATCACCACCAGAACAAAGTTTTTAAATTGGGTGCTCAATCAAGCATAAAAATCAGAGTGATACGATTCTAAGACACTTTCCACATTTATAATTTCTACTGTTTAACAACTGTGCTTCCATATAGGGAACTTGCATTAACAAACTAGAATAGTCAACACAAGATATTTCAGCATTCTTCTGTGAGATCAACACCAATTCCTACCTGCCTCACATCTGGTCTGCAACATTCTCAATATTGCAGATTAGTAATGAACAAACAGTCCATCTTTTTTCATTTTTGCTATTTCATGTGTGCGTGTGTCACAAAAGTCAGAATTTCACACTATGCAAACCGATGAGCGTCTTGTGTTGCTTGAACTCTTTTTGCCAATGTACAAGTTCTTTTCAGATTCCAAATGTAGTAACAGTATTGGAGTAAAATATTACTACATGCATATAGATGTAAACACACACACACACACACACACACACAGTACATTCTGAAGTTTACAGACTAATATAACACTATTCAAAGTCACTTTCACTTATTTCAGATAAGAGAAAGCGTACAAGGATTATATGGGTCAAAGCCTCTAAAGTTAGTTTTGTAGTAAGAGAATGAATTCTAATAATTGTCCTTGGTTGGGATGGTGAACTAAAAGTTCTCTAAGGAATGCTCTCAAAACCCCTCACTAACAGCTATGCATGTCATTTGCTGAGCAGCTTGAGGAGACAAACTGACAGGGCCCTTAATAATGACTTTAATGCTTGTGAATCCAAGGTGCTTCAAAGTGCCAAAGAGCAATGAAAACTGATTTCCTTCACCATCCCACCCAAATCTACCAGGAAGCAAGTCACTTGTATCTTCTCATTGGCTCATGCAGGAGAATTCCTGAAGTCTCCCGGTTTTGTATCTCCATGAAGGATCACAGAATTGTACCCAAGCCACTGAGCCAGACGACATTTCTGCTTTTCCTTTTACATTTTCCTTCATAATCAGTTCACAAGAGAAGTCCCTGTATGCACCATCTCCACTCTACCCACTACTGTTTTCAAAACTACAGTGTACTTTATTGGTGAACTTCTTGTTTTCCCACTCCCCCCCCAAATACAAGAACGCATGAACAAGGACTACACTCAATCTGAACTCACATTGTTAATTGGATTTTAGCTTTAGTGGGAATATTAGGATTCAAAGCAACTAATGTAGTTTTTCCATATTTTATTTATTTACCTTCAGAGGCTTTCACCACAGGAAATTAGTTGGGATTAGATTTGTTAAAAAAACAAAAAACCACTAACATTGATGACTATACCAGATCACATACACCCCACTACAAAAGGCAAATGGCTTCTATAAATCCATTAGGAGGAGTTTATTATTGATTATGTCAAATAACTGCAATCACGCCAGCGCTGACACAAGTCTCACCTATCGTACTGCCCATCGGGAGAGGTGGTGGCAGTGGTGGTGCTGGCGGGACTCCAGGAGGAGGAGGAACAGAAATTTGTGCTAATAAAATAGTTCATATTGCCAGTTAGGCTAATGGCAAAAGAGCTACATTTTAAAAGACAACAGGAACGCAGAGACTTTACAGTATAAGAAAATATTCAACATTATACACACAGGCCCTGATCCTGCAAAGGGTTCTACAATTGCACACCTTTTCTCCTGCAGGGAGTACCTATCGATTTTACTGGGGTGCTTTGTAAGATCCATGCATGCAGATCCCTATGCAGGCCAAGAACACACAGTGGGCCTTAAGACTTAGTAAGAAGTGAACATTTGTAAACAAAGGAACAAGATACAACAGCAAAGTTCCACCTCAGAGTAAAAATCTGACTTGTGAATACCACCACTCTAGTTTATGAGACTAGGGCTAGGTCTACACTACCCGCCTGAATCGGTGGGTAGAAATCGATCTCTCGGGGATCAAATTATCGAGTCTCAGCGGGACGTGACAATCGATCCCTGAATCGACGCTCTTACTCCACCAGCGGAGGTGGGAGTAAGCGCTGTCGACGGGGAGCTGCGGAGGTCGATTTTGCCGCCGTCCTCACAGCGGGGTAAGTCGGCTCCGATACGTTGAATTCAGCTACGCTATTCGCTATATCTCCTTTAGTGGTTTAATCGAAGGAAGAAGTTTGTTTAAAAAATTGTAAATAATTTTCTAAATGGTAAGTGATAAAAATCAATAGACTATTTCAAAAAAACAATTCCGATCATATGCATACAGAATGGCTGTTTCTTCTTCTCAGGACATCTAGAAATGTCTACTTGTCAACATGCGTTTGAAAGCATGGATTCCACCTGTTCCTTATATCTTAAAAAGAAAAGATAGTCCTGATTTTTTTTAAAAATCATGTTACAATGTAATGAATAAAAATGAATGAAAAAAATAGCAGCTGACCATTTTTGTCATTTTGTTGTTTGTTTTGGGAGTGATTCTCTTCCAACCTCTTCAAAAGGGAAGGGATGAGAACTTCAAGGCTCCCTTGACATTTATGAGAAAACATCTGAATGAGCCACATTGCAGTATTAGGTATCATAAAAAGAATCTCAAATACCTGGCCCAACAGTTGGTGGCGAAGGTGTAGGCACGGCAATGGGAATGCCAATACTGCTGCTTCCACTGTTCTCTCGACTGCCACTTCCTCCACTACTACCACTAAAGGGGAGGAGGAGGAGAAGATGACATGTCAGCACTTCTTTCCATACAGCCTCACCAACATTCATATCACTTATCTGAACAGTGACCAAATAAATTAGCTCAATTACATAAGTGTGAGGAAAACCACCCTGTAGACTGACTGTTCCTGAAACCCCTATTACTTACCGCCCTCAGATCATTAAATCAAAATGTATTAAAACTCTAGTAGATACAGATATCATTAGCTAAGCTGTTAGCCACTTTTTATACAGCCATGGCTTTTAATTACTTATAACTACAAATGTAAGCAACTATACGAGATCTAGACAGCTGTCAGTCCAATGTGAATACTGTAATGGTTCCAGGCACCTTAAATTAAGTACAGTAACTCTCCACTTTATGGTGTAGTTATGTTCCTGAAAAATGCGACTAAGCAAAACGATGTTAATCAAATCCAATTTCCCCATAAGAAATAACGTAAATGGGGGGGAGGAGGGGGTAGGTTCCAGGGAATTTTTCCCCCCCCAATCAATCTATATCTATATCTTTCATAGACATATAGTATAAGTTTTAAACAAACAATTTAATTCTGTACACAGCAATCATGATTGTGAAGCTTGGTTGAGGTGGTGAAGTTAGGGTGGGATATTTCCCAGGGAATGCCTTACTGCTAAATGATGAACTAGCACTCAGCTGAGCCCTCAAGGGTTAACACATTGTTGTTAATGTAGCCTCACACTTTACAAGGCAGCACAAATGGAGGGAGGGGAGACAGCATGGCAGACAGACAGAAACACACATCCTGAGAGAGAGAGAGAGAGAGAGAGAGAGAGAGAGAGAGAGAGAGAGAG